CGAACCAGAGCCTAGCATCCGAGTACGTTGGGCGTACGAGGGATCGGATCGGTGACTCCTTCTTCGGATAATACCCGACATTAATTTAATTTATATTTAAATTAATTAACAAACTTCAAAAATTCATATCTTTCTCATACGAACTCCGTTTTCGACGTTCTTTATATCCACGCGAAGGTGAGACTACGATCTACAACTTTCGTTTAGACTCCGTCGGCTAGTTTTGACTTTATTTTTAATATTATATTTTTAATAGGTCGGGATAGGAAAAGTCCGTTAAAGTTCCATAACTTCTTCATCCGACGTCCGTTTTCATCAGACTTTTTACCGTTGTGCTAGAATTGTTGATCCCTTTGATTCTCTTTTAGGTTGTTTTGGCCAAAAGTCTCTCGATCTCTATTTCGAGTTTTTAGCTGTCTACTGCTATATATCTGTAATTTAGAAAAATCACAACTTCCTCATACGAAGTTAGATTTGGACGTTCTTTTTATGTACGGTTACGGTTTGATGATATCTATGACTTTCATTTAGACACCTAAGGTAAAAAAGTGTTTTGTTGAAAATTTGTGTTTTTACGTAACTTCGTATTGCCGGTTTTTGTCGGGAAACTTAGAATGGTCATAACTTCTTCGTTATAACTCGGATTTTAGTGTTCTTTATATGTATGAAAACCTTGTTACAATATCTACCACTTAGTATACTTAATTACGGTTTTATAAAATTTAAATTTTGACCTGAATTTTGCTGTTGTTACATTATCCCCCCGTTAGAGAGAATTTCGTCCTGAAATTCGCATTTTGACTGGGACTCCAATACTTGTAGGCAGGCGTGAGTGCTTATGGTCCGTTTGTTCCTCTTGTTCCTTTATGAATCTAGATCCTAATGTGCGTGTTTCAGCGGACCTTCATTTCTCCGCCTATCACAGCGACCGATCGGGATCGTACGGTTTTTGGGTTTATTTACTTATGTTCTCCTAAATGTTAGCATATTCACTCGATGAATTAGGGTAGCCATGTTTTGAAGTTCATGGTTGGATTTACTGCTAGTTTCTGAGCTTGGATTTGACTTGTTGTAAGCGTGGTTTTTCTATATGATCTGTTGGGGGATACTACGGGAAAGTTGTAAAGATTCCTCACATGAGTACTTCGGGGTTTTGAAAGTAGAAACCAATTGGTGTTTGTGTCGGGTTTGTCATTATAAATCGATCGAGTTTCGTTAGTCGATGGTTAAGGTGAAAGGGTCTTTTATAACACATGGAACTGGTATGGGTAGGGCTACACCAATCCACGTCGCATGTTGATGTCGGTACTTCTCATTGTAAGACGTTCGTTAGTGAAATAGTGCATTCTACGTGTGTGTTTTTAGTGCTTTTTAGTCTATCTCCATTATTACTACTATGAAAGTTTTCTTTAATGGTTGGGGTGGTTGTTCGAGTAGATTTTTTTTTAAACTTGTGACTCACGGAACTCCTCTGCGTCCCTACTATCAAATAGAACGTACGTAACTAAGTTATCAAGGAGAAATGTACCCAGAATAACCGTGGGGTCTGCAATAGCCTCCTCTTGGCCCATTACGAATACTCGACCTCCTCTACCAGCATTCATGATGTTTGACTCTAGGTAGTCCCTTCGGAAGTGTCCCGCTACTCCGCACTCATAACAAGCACGGTCTATACCTATATTTGTGGCTGGAGTAGTTGGTTAGGGTAGTTCTCTGCAGTGGCGGATGGTGTGTCCCTTTCTATTACACCTAACATAATGCATTTCACAGCAGGGTCCGTGATGATGAAAGTTGCATCGGTTGCATTTAGGTTGGTTGCCATTGTACGACCTTTTGGATGTAGGAGTATGGTTATTCATGAATTAAGGGAAAAGGATAGGTACTTTTGTTCTATCTTTCTTCCTTGTTCCAATCGAAAAAAAGGCCATGCGTTGGGCTTTTAAGTTTATTTGCATGGCAGCACGATCACTCGTAGTCTTGGGAAGTCTCTGTTCTGGAGTTCATAGTAGAAACCATACCAGGTTCATCAATCATAGTCTCAAGTATATGAGCCGTATATAAATAGGCTTGAAACTGTGGGTCTTTGGATTGAACTTGACGTACTACACGTGTGGTACTTCGGGGCGGTTTATTGAATTTTTCTTCGGAAAGGATGAGAAAAAATAAGTGCTCTATGCACGAGTACTTTGGTATTCTGGAATGACAGCTTTGTTAGAAAGAGAATTTCGGAGATGAGATGTAAGTATGAAGCTGTTTTTGTGAGGATCAAATTGAATCAAGTCATATGATAATGTCGGAATCATAAGGAAACTTAAAGACATTAGATTTGAACGTAAGATGTTTACAGACAAAACACAACCGTGCAACCATCAACAGAGTTACAACACTTTAGGCTACTATAAGACTATTGCTGCAAATAAGGTATACTACAAAAGGTAAGTATACGCAGTACGAGCATCCCTATACCGAAGGGATCCCGCAAGAGATAAGACTCTAGTTGCACTAGTTTTAAACATGTTTTAAAAAGACATACATAATACTGACGATTGTAAGTGAACGTATACTATAATAGGTTCTTTCATTGCTTCTTTCCATTCTGAGGTCAAACTCCTCCGGATTCGCCGTCGTCCTTCTCTGTTGGACAGTCCCTCTTGAAGTGTCCCATTACGCCACATAGATGGCATATTCGAGAGATTTCGACATTGTAATGTGTTGGGTCCGAGTCCAGCAGCAATTGGTAGTATGTCCGTTCTTGTTGCATTTAAAGCAGTGTAATGGACGACAACTACCTAGATGATGGAAGCCGCACTTATTGCATTCCGGTAGGTTTCCGGCATACTGCCTAGCTGGTGTAGGGACAATTAGGATACCAGAAGGGATGGTAGTAGGATGTACAGATGCTGGGGCTGCGAAGGTTGCCACATGTTGTTGTCTTTTGCTCGTCCCTTGGGGTGATTTTCCTTTAGCTTTAGCCCAGAGCTTTCGTTTGTTATTCTTGGGCTTGGGATTCGGGGTTTCGTGGTAGTTTGTTGCCCGTTGAGGTATTTGATTGTTACTTGGATTGGAGTTATTGTTAACAATCCTGCTAACATTCGCGCTGTTAGCATTAAGGTGGGTCAGAACAGCTGATACGACAGCCGAGACTGTAGCTTGAAAGGTAGCTGCATCAATCTGAAGAGTTGGTCTTTGGTTGATCCGTTGATCATTTTTCTTTGGCGACATGATTCTGATAAGGAAATAACAAGAAGAATTATAAGTTTTAATGATTCGAAAGTCGCGCATTAGTGTTTTGTTATATCAGAAGTTTGGTTTACCCCTGAATAGGGTTTTGAGTTCGACTCATAAGGAGAGTAGATAAACTCATGAATTGGAGAGGTATGCAAATGGTTTAATAAAGGAAATACATCATATATTATAAAACATGGTGCATTACATTTTGTAGTTAGGAAAATTTGACCTATCTAAAGGTCTCCGATTACAAGGTTAAGAAAAGTAAGGAATTTATCCGAGGTCTTATGCTATGACAAAATTTTGAAAGTCAGACAAGTATTATTTGTTACGTGAGCTGGCTACATGGGTCTTAGATTCTGCCAACTGACGCTCCATCTCGAGCATACGTTGTCCATGTCTTGCCTGGCATGCCCGAAGTTCTGTCACTTCGGTTTGAGTTGCCGCTAGCTCTCTCTGCAACGCTTCATTTCGATTTACGATTCTCTCGTGAGCTAATCCTAACTGTCGGATGCGAACTGTGTTGACTCCAGTGTTCGCATCATTTTCCTCAGTTCGATGGATGGTCGTCCGTCCTTGTTCATCAATGCGAGAAATCCGACGAACCAATATAGGAAGGGCTCTGTCTGCTGAGCCCCCCTCGCTTAGGTTGTAGAAGCTTCGGTCTCCATTGAATGGAAGGGGTTGATCCTGTTCGCGGCTCCACCTATTCAGGTTAGTTACCCAAAGGGGCGTCGAGCCATGAAATTCCGGTCGAGGATTAGGATTTTGAATTGGAGTCGTTAAGGGTAGGTTATTGTTCTCTGGATCTGAGTCTGATTCTTCTTGCATTCCTTCTTCAGGATCATTCTCTATCCTCTCTCCATTACCTTGGTTGGGGTAGTAGGGGTCATTGGGGTGATGGAATCCTGCCATTGAGTATGTACGAGAATAGGGTTAAGAATCGACTATAACCTAAAGCACATGGAATTTACTCTTAAGTTTAAGGGTTGAAGGCACTCGAATACTCCCTTAGTATTCTTTAACGATATGCTTTTGGTAAGTTTTAAATTTGTTGTCCATTACAGGCACTCCTTGGCATACGTTAGTCGGCCCTTGGACAAATATAGTTGATCAGGCTACATTCATCCCAATTCCGATTACATGATCCAAGACATACCTTCACTGCACAACTTATATATAATACTTCTATATTGTTTTAATTATGATACTGACCATGTTATTAATATGAAATGAATGCATGCACTACTAGAAAAACAGCCTTTTACGACGCTCATTGCGCGTCGTAAAAGGCTCAGACGACGCGCAAATGTGCGTCAAGGAAGGCCCTGTCATAAAGAGAGACGACGCGCTTTTGCGCGTTGTCTATAGATGACGCGCATTTACGACGCTCATTTACGACGCGCAATTATGACGCGCGTTTACGACACGCAATGCGTATCAAGAAAGGCCCTGTCATAAAGGAAGACGAAACGCATTCGCGTGTTGTAACCTTACGACGCGCGTTAATGACACACATTGCATATCAAGAAAGTCCCTGTCAAGAAAGGCCATGTCATAAATGAAGATGACACACATTTTTGCGTATCATAATTGTAAATGTTAAAAAAAAATATTAATTATGGATTTACTTATTTTCAAATTAAATTTGTATTTAATGTTTCATAATAAAAAATAAAATATCATATACAAAAACTAGAATCCATTGAATAAATTTAATGCCATACAAATAATCGTTCGAACGACTAAGGGGATCCGATTGTACATTGTTATTAAGAAAATGGAATTATATTGTTATCGTTAGAAAATAAATGAGAGTACAATGCGCTATGTTTGGTTCCTCTCATATAGTTTCCATCTTCAAGATTGCTATCCAATAAGCTTTTAGTATTCGCATGTAGAAATTCCATTGCAAAATGCACACCTGAGAGCTCACGTCCTGGAACAGGGAGGTCTCGTGGCTTTGTTGCCCCAACTGCTAAAATAACCGCATCATTCTCTTCGCGAAGGCGTTCAATTGAGTACATCGGATCGCTTCCTAATTCCAGGACAGAGGAACTGCAAATATTATTACAACTCATTGTTTACCAACAAAACAAACTATATGATTATGATTACCTACCTACAAAAGTGGGCCCTAGCAATCCGGAATTGGGATTTTGTTCCTTCTCCAATTAGATTTAAGCCAAGTGTGGGACTACTGCTTTCAAGAATGCAATGTTGAGGGCAATCACAAGGACTGGACCATGGTGTTTGGATCACAACAACAAACCTACATACACAAAACACAATTTTAGTATTTCTGGAACCTATTAAGGATATCACTCATTGTAAGAACTAGAAAAGGATGAAAAGTTTTTAGGAAATCATAGGGACTTACCGAGCTGCAAGGGTCATCCATGTGTTGTTCTTTCTGCAAACTACACCACATATTTCCAAATTAAATCTGACAGTATGGTGACTGACTATGCTACAAAAAAAATGCAAAATTAACTCCTTTTTATCTTTATCACAAACTATTATGCGAATCCGATATGGTTGTATTTTTTTATTCAATATGCAAGTACCCAACAAAGATTCACATAACAGCCATGGATGGCAACAAGCAGGGAAGCACAAGGTATTGCTTTTTTCAACAAAACCTACAAGTATATGCACAACTAAGAAACTAATAAGTTAAATAAACCTCATCTTTTCAGAAAGTTTTATATGAAACTGGCATGAGGCTTTTACCTTTTACCATGAAAAGATAACTGAATAAAGGATTTGCAACAGAAGTCACAAAGGGCTTACAGGGTAGTATAATGCACTTACAGTTGTGTTGGTCAACGACTTAACAATGTGGTAGTATAATGCAGTCAGTGTGTCCCCCTTGTCATTCCTGTTACAATATTTAATTAATTAATCATCAACATAATTACTTTAAAAGATTAATTTTTTATATAACAAAATAAACATCGGTTCATCCGGAGTGTAAGTCACGTCCAGATAGTGGCCTTTCAGCTATCACAGAACTTGACCCATGTTATATAACAGGTAACATTCTTTTCATCTCTCCATCTGTATATACATAAACACACACACTTATACGTTATATGTAAGTTGTAACATATAGTCCCTGAAAGTGAATTCTTGATTATCAGGTCCTCTTTCATCAGTATGGAAAGAATGGTGCATTGAATTTGGGATTGAGGCAAATGATATTCTTGCTATTCCATATGATTGGAGATTGTCACCATCAAAGCTTGAAGAATGGGATTTGTACTTCCACAAGCTAAAGTTTGTATTCAGTTATTATATGATCTGAATCATAATAATTTTGAAACCCACATATTAATTTTTTTTAATTTCTTTGCAGACTTACCATTGAAACAGCTCTGAAGAATGTCCCATTTACTTATTTATTAGGGTTGTTTTATGGACACGGGACTTGAAATCAAGAATAAGGTTCCCTCACCACTTTACAATCACACACTCGCCACAATTCTGGTGGAATATGCTTCTACAGTAAGATGAACATGATATCGTGAGACATTATGGAGTAATTAAGTTAAGTAGAAGAATTAATAATAAACTATGCAGGTTTACATGTCAAATTTAACATTTTTACTTGGACTTCTTCAAGATGTGATGCCCTTACCACGGTACTTGGCACAGTTTATATGAAAACTGAAAAACAGTATTTTTCAAATTATGTTGATTTTATTGTTATCTTGAATCAGGGTTTTGAAGTATTAGAGTTGATTGTTGATGTTGAGAACTGTCTTCAGGCCTTTGTTGGGGTTGCAGATGATCTGGATGCAATTGTTATTGCATTCAGAGCTGTTCCCTAACACCCTGATTTTAGTTTCATCACCATCATCCAGTTTAGATACATCAAGACAGTTTGCAAAAATCTGAAAATACAACAAATTATGAGAGTAATTTTTACACTTAGAAGGACGATTTACAGGTCTCAGGCTCATCAAAAACTTGCTTGAATCACCAACAATGCAAATACATACCAAGAACAATCATTTGTTTAGACTCTTCCATTGGTCCCTGCAACCGTTGAAATGCTTTTCTTGCACTGCCTTATATCAACATACAAGAACCAACAATCATACTCATACATATATATATATATATTAACATGTATATTGTATATATATATATATATATATATATATATATATATATATATATAAAGAAACTGAATATTGCCTCTGGAATGCCGAGTAAAGTAGAGGGATAAGGCTGAGAGCTCCCTGAATCTTTAGCACTATCCGCCCCATCAACATTATTTCAATCCATTAATATTTTATGCCACTCTTTGCATTCTTTTGACTTGCGAAAAATGCACTGCACAAACATGTAACAAGCCAAACATTTAAATCATATTTTAAAAAAAAATTAAAAAGTTCTCCTTTAACAATTTCCTTTCTAAAGGAATAACCTGATGCAGGAACTTTGAGAGGAACTTTGATTATTCATCATTGATGTATTTGAGGTTGTGGGAACATAAAAGTTTCCGATTCGAGAAGAATCAGTGGTGCTACTCCCATAACCATCACCTGCAAAGTATACGTATTAAGTACCCCATCAACATTAAAGAGGATACTACAGTGACAAAAGCAGAGAGAGAGAGAGAGAGAGAGAGAGAGTACCCTGTGACATCTGTTGTTGATGGACATTCAGAACAGTCCCATAATGAGAAGGTGTCTCATTTTCTCTGTGACATTTGAAAATCCATAAGCTTTGTATTGTAAAGTAGACCTGATTCCCCCACCCATATGGCTCCCAAGGCTATGTAATATGTGACTGTTCTGGCCACCAACTTGGTGCTTCTAGTTTAGTGGTTGAGATACCATTGTTGAGTCAATAGTCGATAGCCCGACAACATTGTTGGACATATCTGTTTTCATGTAATACTGATTAGTATTACTATTATTAAATCTAGGAGTAGGCATCATTCACCATTCATAGTCCATAACAAAGAGACCAAAACCCTAACTTATCAGTGAAAATAGACAGAAAGAATCAAAATAGTAAACATGTGGATGTGTGTGTGGTGTTGTGTGCGACTGTGAACAAGTATCATAATGGGATTAAGAAGAAAAAAAGTACGGGAGATGGATGTCTCACCTGAGACATAAAAAAAAGAATAAGGGAGATGGAATGGAGCGTACCTGAGATGCTTAGAGTGTAGAATTGAGGATCAAGGAAAGAGGAGGAAATCACGATTAATATCTGTATCGCCTTTCCAGTTAGGGTTTTACAGAGGAGAATACAAGAAGAATCAAAATCGAAATCAGAGGCATGAATAAAGGAGAAAGAAGAGCAATTTTTACAATACAGAAGAGTGCACCTTACCAAATAATCCTTCGATTGACTGCAATTTGGAGTCAAATCGATATCGATTCAGCTAGATAATATCAATTTCGATTTCAATTTCATCTACTCCAAGTCTTTGTGGCCTATAAAACACGGTGTGTGGCTGATGATGGACAACCTGTGAGCTGCTGGTTTGTACCCAACGCTTTACCAGCAATACCTTCTTCCGATACGAGCTGCTGGGTTGAGGTCGCCTCAAAGAGCCCTAAAATCTCTGGATCGAACACATACGAAGCGGATTCAATCACATAAATGGGCTTGAATCTTCCTTCACATGGGCCCCATGTTTACCTTGTCTAATTATTGGAAACCATAGTTGAACAAGAAGGTCTGTGTCCATTATGCATTTTTCACTCAATAGTCAAAGTCTTGAATCAATCGATCATCAAAGAATTCTTGATAGTCATCAAGAGGGTTCAAATCTGTTTCCTTTGGGGAAATGATTGGATCAAATCTGTTTCCTTTGGGGAAATGACTGGAAACCATATACGGATTAGGGTTTACAGAGAAAATGAGAAGGAGAGATTGAAGGTTGTCGGCTGGTGGCGTACTTTCCTTGATCGACGTCGACGATCGGGAATAGCAAGTAACGATGGTCGAAGTGTGAGGGAAGAAGTAGGTGGCAGTCAATGTCGGCAGGGGGAAAGAAGGAGCGTCGATAATTAGGGAAAGAGGGAAAGGAACAAAAAGGAAGGCGGGGATTTTAATTTTTTAGGATTTCATTTTCCCCCTCAACTACTAAAGGATGGAAGGCGCGTTTCCATTTAAATTTATAAAGCGACATCCTCAGGTGACACACGTTTTATTATAGGCGCCCTCCGTGTTTTTTTTTAGACACTAATTTAAGGGTACGCAAAAATGCGCGCCCTAAATCCTTAAAATTTATAGAGAGATGACATTATTTTTAGATCACACTCGTTTGCGTATCCTGAATCAATGCGTATCATAAATTGCGCATCGTAAAAGGTTGTTTTTCTAGTAGTGATGCCTACTTTACAAAAATTAAATAAATTTAATTTTAAAAGTATGACTCTTACTCAGAGTGTTTTTGCCCAGTTGAGTTTATAGTTGTATACAAAAAAGAAATGGTTTTGATATACTTAATTCCCTATAAACAGAGCTCTGATACCAATCTGTCACACCCCCAAACCAGAACGGCGGAAACATTCGGGGGCGGAGGACGTCATATTTAGTATCATAATAGTTCATACAAAGGAAAGTACACACCACCATATACATTAAAGTTTCCAAAATGTTTACATAATTGTATTCGTTACATGTTCAAAAGTTAACTACATAAACATCTTTCAGAAGAAGTAATTAACGTCAACAAGTTAATCCCCATAAGTTGATTTCCAAATCTGCTTAGCGGTTCCCTGAGAATACAAGTTATTTCAAAGAGAAAGTGTCAACAATTAAGTTGGTGAGTTCATGAGTAGTGTTTTGAGAAAATGTACGCCATTCAAAAGTTCGTGTATGTTTTCCAGAAAACGCAGTATTTCAAATGTAAAGAGTTGTGATTTATTGTGTTGAAAGTGAATGTATTAGATCCAGAAAATCTCATATTTTCCCTAATGGTTGAGATACGAATTGTTGTGTTTTCCAAGAAAAACCCTTATTTTCTTATAAAAGTATGAAATGCATATGAATGTTCGTGTTATAAGTTGTAAATAATTGCACCAGGAAAATCCCTTATTTTCCTATTAGTTGTTTGGTTTGTATATAGGAAAACCCCTTATTTTCCTAACATAACTGGTAGTCTCTAAGACCGAAAATCGCAAGAAACCGACGTTCTTAAAAGTTGTGTCATAGTTTTATATAATAAAGCTATACGAAGATCGCATTTGTTAGATGAAGAATAGTTTTAATAGCCGCTCGTTCATAAAAGCATAATACCTTAATAATTGTATATCCGATGAGTTTTATAACCATACTAAACATAATATGCCTTTAATGACGTTCTTCAGGCGTCGCAGCGTTATGACAACTGTCACCCCAAAGGACGGACTGTAGCTAACAGTCAGGGCGCGGGATCATGACTTCCCGTATAGATCTATACACATTTGACACGTTCTCCGAACAGGAGACTCTGGTTATAGACAGGACTTGCAGCATTACTTTCTAATAAAGAAATGTAACGTTTGAAGATATACACGTCTCATGGATTCTCAATTAAGCCTGTATTAAAGTGATAGTTTTTGGTATGCAAAGTTTATCCTTTTTCACAATGTTTGACAAAGCATAAATCATATGTTTTTAGAATGTATAAAACGACTTAACAATGAAGGGTACTTTGAAATCATTATATACTTTGCATAAGTCTAATGTACAGAAAGTATGACAAGAGTTTTCCATAATAGTAATGAGTTCCAAGTGATTTATTCGGTAAAACATGCGAAGTGAAACTTTATAAAAATACACGATAATAACCGTATGTTTACTTGTATCCCCCCTAAAAGAGTATAAAAGCATTTAAGATGTATTTAAAGTGTGTTTGAAAGGGGTATGAACTCACTTGATTGATTGAAGAAAGCGTGACGAAAACCGAGCAGAACTTCTACTCGAGAAAGCGAATCTATCGAGATTCTCGGGAAAATCTCGGGAGTCTCGGGAGTGTAAAACTTTCTTCCCACCTTGGATATGAAAACCGGGCCTTTGGGATGATTCCAAGGGTTGAAACGCAGAGCTTCGGTGCGAGAAAGGAGGGAAATTAGCAATTTTGGCCGGCACCCTCGCATCCTTTTTATAGGGGTCTGGGAGGTTGCGTTACGCGGGGCGTACTAGAGTACGCGCTGCGTACTCATGCGTCATGCATGAGCGCATCCTCGGTCGAAACCGGAGCCTAGCATCCGAGTACGCTGGGCGTACGAGGGATCGGATCGGTGACTCCTTCTTCGGATAATACCGGGCTTTAATTTAATTTATATTTAATTTAATTAACAAACTTCAAAAATTCATATCTTTCTCATACGAACTCCGTTTTTGACGTTCTTTATATCCACGCGAAGATGAGACTACGATCTACAACTTTCATTTAGACTCCGTTGGCTAGTTTTGATTTTATTTATATATTATATTTTTAATAGGTTGGGACAGGAAAAGTCCGTTAAAGTTCCATAACTTCTTCATCCGACGTCCGTTTTCGTCAGACTTTTTACCGTTGTGCTAGAATTGTTGATCCCTTTGATTCTCATTTAGGTTGTTTTCGCCAAAAGTCTCTCGATCTCTATTTCGAGTTTTTAGCTGTCTACTGCTATATCTGTAATTTAGAAAAATCACAACTTCCTCATACAAAGTTAGATTTGGACGTTCTTTTTATGTACGGTTACGGTTTGACGATATCTATGACTTTCATTTAGACACCTAAGGTCAAAAAGTGTTTTGTTGAAACTTTGCGTTTTTACGTAACTTCGTATTGCCGGTTTTTGTCGGGGAACTTAGAATAGTCATAACTTCTTCGTTATAACTTGGATTTTAGTGTTCTTTATATGTATGAAAACCTTGTTACAATATCTACCACTTAGTATACTTAATTATGGTTTTATAAAATTTTAATTTTGACCTGAATTTTGTTGTTTTTACATAAGAAAGGCCAACCTTCTCAAGCATCCTCAAAGAAACATCAGACTGTAGCAGTCCATGCTGCTACTACCCCCGTTGCTGCTGCTTATGTTGTGGGATATACAGCTCAAACCCCTACCAGTAGGTATGTTGGTAACCTTCCTCTGTGTGAAAATTGAAAATACAACCATAACCCTGGTCCCTGCCGTGACCTAGCATGCACCAACTGTAGTAAAAAGGGGCACATGGTCTGATTCTGCAAGACACCAGCCCAATCTGCAAATCAGTCTTCTGGAGCAGGTGTTGGTCAAGCCTGTTATAATTGTGGAGAAGTTAGGCATTACAAGAGGAACTTCCCCAAAAAGGCGACAGCTGATAATACCGGGAGAGTCCTAGCCATGGGATGGGAGGAGGCAGTCACCGATCCCACTGTTGTTTCGGGTACGTTCCTTCTCGACAACTCTTATGTTAGTATTCTTTTTGATTCGGGTGCTGAAAGAAGTTTTGTTAGTCATTCGTTCAAACATACTCTAAAACCTAATCCGCAACCATTAATCGAAATGTTTACCTTCGAGATGGCCAACGGTGAGAAAGAAAACGCTAGCGACATATTCATAGGTTGTACCCTTACCCTGAACGATCATTCATTTCCCATCGATCTTATGCCAGTCTCCATTAAGAGCTTTGATGTTATCATTGGCATGGATTGGTTGAGTCCCAATGATGCTGATATCCTTTAAATAAGAAAAAGCCATCCGTCTCAACCTACCTTCGGGTCAAACTCTCATGATCAATGGCGACAAACTCAGCTCCAACCTTCGCATCATTTCCTGCATCAAAGATCTGAAACTCTTGCGAAAGGAATGCCAAGCATTCCTAGCCCACGTCATTAACGAGAAACAAAAAGTTAAAGACCTCGCGAGCATCCCCAAAGTCTGTAACTTTCCTGATGTCTTTCCAGAAGAGCTCCGAGGAATTCCTCCCGAATGTCAGGTCGAATTTCACATTAACCTAA